ATGATAATTCTTAAATAAGAGATGAAATTGATGATTTATCGTACTACGTACTTTCATTACTTTTATTATTTTTGTAAAAATTGTTAAAATTTACAGAACTTTTATTTTCATATCTTCAATATTGCCATATTTCCGATCATTTTTTTTTAAAAGTGAATTTATAGGAAGCAAACGAAAAAGTTGCTTACGAACTTGATCAAACACTTATCGAATTTGCTTCTGCTATTGATCGGCTTGATTTTGGTCGAGCAATTGATTTTCTGGAGAAACGAGAAGAATATGATACAACAGTATTATGGCGTCAACTTGCTCAGGTTTCTTATGATTACTTTTATCATCAAATAAGTAAATATTATAAGTTATAACATGTGATAGATAACATTTTGATAGATACTATTATAAATTATAACATTTGATTTAATATATCATCAAATTCATACATCATTATCTGAGGGTTTTTTTTTTTGAATCTTCAAGAGGATTATGATATAATACATTTTCTTTAGGTTGCATTATCACAACAACAACTCTTGATGGCACAACGATGTTTCGCAGCATTAGGTGATATATCACGAGTGCAAATGCTTGTCGAAACAATTCGAATTGCTGATGAAATAACCCGAAATACTGGTGATGATGGAAAAAATAATTACAAAGTATTTTGTAATTACATTCATATTCACTATTATATTTCGCATGATTTTGGAACTTTGTAGAAGTAATGTAGGAAAGAAAAAAAAATATTTTTCTTTTCTATTTCTTGAGCATAGTACATATAGTTGATAAATTGTTAATCCATACATATAATTTTTTCTTACTTTATTAGACATTAGTAATTACACGAGTGTTATCAATATTTTTGCAGGTTCAAGCACGATTAGCACTTATGAATAAAGATTTTAGAGAATTTGAAAGAATTTATCTTGAGCAGGTGATACAGTTTATTTCATATTCACTATTATATTTCGCATGATTTTGGAACTTTGTAGAAGTAATGTATTTATCGTAGAAATTAATATAACAATATTATCCTACTTCAAAGATTCCTTTATTATTATTCAAATTTTGATTAAAAATAAATTTAACAGAATTTTTAAAACGAGCAAAATTTCATTTTATTGTTAAATTTTTATCATTTCAATTTATAGAATGCGTTAGATGAAGCTATTGAAATGTACCAACAAATTGGCAAATGGGAGGAAGCATTTGAGTTAGCTCAAGCACGAGTATGTTTTATCCACTAAACGTATCATTCTTTTATCACTTCTTATTTGCACTATTGATAAGGCCAGTAAAATGTCTGAAAGATTATACCTATTTCAAAAACATTTGCATAAAGTACCTATTTTTTTAGAATCATCCAGACTTGGAAACTGTTAGATCTCAATACTATCGTTATCTGTTCGATACAGGTCAAGATGGAAAGGCTGCACAAGTTGGTCTTTTTTAAAATATTCATTAATTTTAATTTTGGTCTTCTTTCAAAGTTGTATATGTTGATATCATGATTATCATCTATATATCATTTTAAGTAATTTACTACTACCTGTAATTTGTTGCATCTCAGAAAGGGATTTTAGTTAAATTGAAAATTGAATTCTTACCTTTTTCGATAAATAATCCTTACCTTTTATTTATGCATTTAAAAATTTGATGCATATAAATAGCATAATGAATAATCTTGCAAGCTTAAATTCTCCTTCTAGAGTTGCTCGATTTTTGCTACTCATCGTGATCTCAAAGATTCTTAGCCAAGTTAAGTGAAGGTTTGATCATTACTAATTGCTTTCTAATTTCAGGTATCAGAATGTGAGGGTGATCTACTTGTTGCAATCGAATTGTATTTGAAAGCAGGCTTAGTCATTCAAGCAGCTCGTATACTTTTACAAAATCCAAAACTCCTTTGTAAAGATGATTTGATACAAAATGTTACTACCGCACTAATACGATCTGATCTATTCGAAAAAGTTTGCTATTCAATTTCTTTCTTTTTTTTTTTTTGTGTTCCACAAAGCGATTTGAGCTAATACATCTGTGTATGCATGACTTGATGCATTGCAATAAAAGGTAAAAGTTATGAATTTTTCAGGCTGGTGAATTGTTCGAAGCGACAAAAGACTTTGAACAAGCGCTGGAAAATTATCGAAAAGGAAAAGGTTACGCGAAGGCTATTCAGGTGGTGATAAAGTGCTAATTGAATTTTCGAATATTACTCAAGTATTTATGCTTTCCTCTTTCTTATCAGTAGATATTTCAGTTAGCACGGGTGCATTTTCCGGAAAGAGTTGTTTTCTTGGAGGAAGAATGGGGCGATAGTCTAATTATGGAAGCAAATTACGATGCAGCTATAAATCATTTCCTTGGTTTGTGACATTGGATGTATCCAGTGATCTAAGTTAATCTAATTTAATTTTAATTAGATCTTGAATTCGTACCATTTGCAGAAAGTGGTCAAACAGCGAAAGCTCTTGAAGCATCAATTAAAGCAAAACAATGGGGTAAAGCTGCGCAAATTGTTGATGTACTTGAAGATAGTGATCTGGCAAAACGATACTATGGTAAAATCGCTGATCATCATGCAAGTATCGGTGATCTTGAGGTAAATTACTTCAAGTGATCTAATCATATCAGTACTGTGCAACAAGAAGATTATTATTGCATTTAGTACGATTTCTTATAATTACTAAGACAGTGAAATCAACTCTATAAAAGTATCTTAGTATAGCCTAGAACAGAAAGAATGACAGTGTTAAATTATTAATTGAAAAGAATGCTAAAATACGATATTACGATTTAGCGAGCAGAAATGTTGTACATTGAAGCGAAAATGCATCGAGAAGCAATCGAGATGTATAATAAAGCTGCCCGATGGACTGATTCATATCGAGTAAGTGATACTTTTTTTTTCTCAGTAATAGATTAATGAAATTTATGCGCATGGACATTCATTAATTCATTTGATTGGTTGATAGATCTGGAATTTATTTTATCCCATTTAATTTGTTTTTTCAAACAAATGAAATATTGTAAAGAAACCTTGAGGGGTCAAAATTTCACTTGTGACTTTTTTGAAGCATGTACTTTGATATCCTCAGGAAAAATTGTCTAAAGCTACCTTACTGTATCCTTTACTTGCAGTTACACTAGAGAAAAGAAGGAAAAAAGTTTAGATAAGCTTCAGCACTGTAAAGGACTGAATGAATTGTTTCAGTTAGCTGCAGAATTTATGGGAGATGAGAGCGATCGAATGTATGAAGAATTGGCAGAAACAATGGAGGACAATGGTCGTTTAATGGATGCGGAGCAGGCATCAGCTTAAATGATCTTTTCAATGCTCAGTTCATTTTTAGATTTAGATTTCAAAATTACTGAATAATTTTTTCTCTTTTTAAATTGTCACTGATATCTCTTTCATGTTTAGCTGTATATCGCAATTGGACAAGCCAATAAAGCTATTGCAATGTATAAGAAAACGGATCGGATTGATGATATGATGAGATTGATGGAAAAATATCATGTTGACGATATTAAGGTTTGTTACAGTAGAATTTTAGTATTGAAAGCAAAAGATAAAAATGATCAAATATCATTTTACAAAATTTTCATCTTCATGATCAAAATACTGAATATTGTAGGATGCTCATCTTCAAGTCGCATCTGATTTGGAGGAAAAAGGTGATTTACGATCAGCAGAGGAGCATTATTTACTTGCTGGTGATTGGAAAGGCGCAGTTAATATGTATCGTAATGCCGAAATGTGGAATGATGCGTATAGAATTGCAAAGCAAGAAGGTGGTGACACAGCACAAAAACAGGTACAACGATTGGCTATTCATCTCATAAAATGAAAAAGGTTCTAAAGATGGATTAAGGAAAAATACTGATGATAAATTATGAATATCGAAACTCAATGTAATCTGTTGTTTTGCAGATTGCATATTTGTGGGCAAAAAGCTTAAATAGTGATGCCGCAGTGAAATTATTGCAAAAATTCAAATTATTAGATGAATCGATTAATTTTGCATGTGAAAATGGGTAAGTATAGGTATAAGTATCTTCGATAGGCATGTTGTACTTTCAGTGAATATAAAAATAATAGTATTTAAGAATAAAAATGACTACAAGAAGTAAGTAATAATGAACTTCAAATAATGCATTTCAAATGTTGTGGTTCCATTCCACTTAAGGTTTGTTTTTTAAAAATTAACTTATTTGAAACATTTAAGTGCTTTCGACTTTGCATTTGATTTGTGCCGTTTGGAAGCAAAAGATCGTCTGCCATCAGTGCATTTCAAATTAGCGCAACAGCTAGAAGAGGAAGGTGAATTTGAAAAGGCTGAAATGCATTATATAGAAGGTGGAAAGCCGAAAGAAGCCGTATTGATGTATATCCATGATCAAGATTGGGAAAATGCAGAACGTGTTGCAAAGTATGATTCTAATCTATTCCGATACTATATAACATCAAATGGATGTAAGCAACGAATATTTAATAAGTTTTAGGAGTCTTTTACATTAAAAGATGAAAACATTCCGAATAGCAAAAGCCACAATTAATGAAACAGTTATTTATTTCTAATTAAAAGAAAGAAAGCCTTGGGCAATCCTTATGAGAGAAATTATTACAATAACTCTATCATCATATTAATTATCAGTTAAATTAACAACAACTAAGCAATAAACTTAGGCTGAATTTTGGGAAGGAGAGTTTCTCACAACTTATTTTTTCTAAATAATTGAGTAAAATTATTTATAGGCAATATAATCCAGAAACATTATCTGATGTATACATTCGACAAGCCCGAATGGCAATCGAGCAAAAAGATTTTACAAGTGCTGAAAGTTGCTTACTTCGTGCCAATCGTCCTGAAATAATTCTACGATGTTATAAGGAATCGGGAATGTGGCAAGATGCTATTCGTATTGCTAAAGATTATATGCCTGCAGAATTGCAACACTTAGAAGTTAGCAATAGCTTTGCAGTTTGCTAATGAAATAATGCATACATAGATATTTTTTATTTCCAACAAACTTTATCATGACTTGCCCATTAATTAATTTTTTTATTAATTTTACTGTTATTCAATTCGTCTATTTTACTGCAAGTTATATTTAGGTATGTTAAAATACAGAAAAATATGTAAAGTTTAGGAAAAGTATAAAATTGCACAAAAAAAAAAAATCCTATTCCATCATATTACGTCTTCTAATCTTCTCCTACTTTTACTTAGTTTCAATTTAGATGAATGAAATAACATATAAAATATAATAGAAATAGAATAAAGATGAAATAAAAAACATTTATCATTTTATTACAATTGTATTTTGAGATAATATTTTAGTTTGTTGAATTGTAAGAAAATACGTGAAGTTTTTACAAAACATATATCGATAATTGCAAATATTGTTCAGGAAGAATTTGACGAAGTACAGCTAAAATCTGGCGCAAAAGGTATTTTATCATTTATTGCTCAAGCACGAGATTGGGAAGGTCAAGGCGAATATGTTCGAGCTATTCAGTGCTATCTAAAGGTAAAGGATTCCGAGACAGCCGATATCGATACAGTTGTAGATGCTTTAAAAAGGGTATATTTTTGTTAATAATTACAAACGTATAGTTATTGAAGTATGATATCATTTTAATTGCACTGATTCATATAATTAATTGGTAACAATTTTCTTTTGTCGCATCATATATTAGCAGCGAAAAATTTTCATTTTCCTCCCATCATCTTATTGAATTATATGAACGATCTGACTATTTTTATCATTATCGGTTCATTCATAATCATCCTATATTTAGATACTTAAAATTCCACTTAATTTACTGTATTTAATCTACATAATTTAAATTCCATTTAAATTATTATTATCAGAAGAGGATGCAAATGATTGAGATTTGTAATCAAAAATGTTTCCATTATCATAATAAAGATTGTAGATCACATTTTCCTTGTCCATTATTATAATTATTTTCTTTACGATTTAATTCATCCAGATTACTTCGTGGGGTATTTAATTCCTTTCTTTTCGCATAACGGTGTTATTATCCAAAGATATGGTTTTTTTTAAACCTTTTTTTCAGGCTGGAGAATTAGCAACAAAATTTCTTTCGGACGATGAAGCATCTGCAGTAGTGGATGAAATTGCGGAAGTTTTCGTTCACTTGAAAAGGTACGACTATTGTGAACAATCATTAATAATAGTGTTGAGTTAATTGTTGTATTCGTACATGGATATTAAGAAATTAATTATTATTATCTATTGATTGTTTGATGATTTCACAACTGATCTATTGGCATTTCTCAAGATGAACGGAACATTTTTTTTAGTAACCTTATTTTACAAAATAGCTGTTTTGTTTTAGCTTAAATGAAGACATACCATAGTTTATAATGTTATTATTAAAGGTTCATCGAAGCAGCTGAATTATTTTTGGCTTCAAATCAACCGGATAATGCTATTAAAGCCTTTTTGCTTGCTGGACAGTGGGCGAAAGCTAAAAAAGTAAATAAGTTGAAATGCAATCAAATCAATCATTACTTTCATTCACACTACACTTTCCTATCATATTTATTCAAGTATTACTGCTACATAAGTTTTAGTTAGCTATGGAATTTGTTCCCGATTTGGCGGATTTCGTCGATGAAAAGTACAGGGAATCACTGAAACAACAAGGTCGATTAGGAGAATTAATGGACGTTGATGTAGTCAGTGCAATTGATGCATTATTGGAACGCGGTCAATGGGAAAAAGCTCTTGAAACAGCTCGACAACAGAAAGTTTGTTATTGCATTGCAAATTTTCATCCAATTAAATTAAAAACAAAAAAAAAAAGAAAGAAAAGTGTAAGAGATGCTATGAACTGAATAAATAGCGGTAAATGACACCTTATTATTGAATCAAAATGTCACGGAAATTCAGATCCATTGGTCAACCTGGTCAAAGTCATTATTTAATCATACGATGAACCTTAAAAAAATTCTCATAGTTTGCATGTGTGGTACTTTTCATTCAAGTTTTTTTTTACTAGTTTTTTAAGCTCCTTTTAAACTTAAACTATGAATGACAAAAGATTTAGTCCATAAGAAATTCCAACTTTTTTTTTGACAAATCCTTTATTGACTCTTGAATTACAATAAAATCAATATTGGTATATTCTCTTCTCAATATTTCCGCCAGTTATATATTATCACCTCAATTATGTAATTAAGAAATTGAATCAAAAAATGAAAAAGATTAAATTCGAATTCTACTCTTATTGTGTATAGTAGAAGATATCATTTATAGCATCAGCCTTTGTTGGACAAATATGTCGCATTATATGCAACCGAATTAATCAAGGAAAAAAGATATGCTGAAGCAACTGCTGCATTTGAAAAATATGGAGCATCCTCAAATCCAAACAATTTCAACATCTATCGAAGACTTGTTGAAGAAGTAAGCGAAACTTTCAATCCTTTTTTAATATAATTGTATGCAGATTAAACTAATCTATTTTAAAGCATAGAAAATTATATGAATAAAAAAACTATGAGAAATCGATAAGGTTGTACAGTAGATTACCTGCTCTTCAATTTATTAAAGTATGCTTTTGATATATGTTGAGAAGTTGGAGTTTTGAAGGGAAATCCAGAAACATAGAGTGAAAGCCGTATGAATTGAGATCAATAATTTAAAGTTGAAAATCTGTAAGTGTAATTCTGATTAATATCTGCACCTATTTTTTGTGGATGTAACACATTAAAACAACCATTTTTTGGTCAAAATCGATAATAGGAATTTCCAGAATTTACAAGCGAAATCTGAATTTTATTTTATGATAACAATTTGATCGTCCTTTAGGCATTCATCTTCTATATCTTCGAAAACCTTTTACAGCTTATAAAAGATAATTCATTTTCGAATTTTGATCTAGAAATTTCACATTTGCTCAATATTCGAAATATTAAGGACTTTTATTTTATTTTTCACATTTTGTAATTATAATAGAATGCTTAAAGAGAAATGCTAAGAAATGTTTAGTAAAAAATAATCCGTCAGTTAAAGGAACTGTTTCTTCTCATTGTAATTCTGTCAAAAATGATAAGACGTCATAAAAACGACGATTATAATTGGACATTTAATAGTTACATAAAGAAGCGAATTAGAAAATTGGATTATTTTTAGCTCAGCATGACCTATTATCATTTTAAGGTTATTAATGTACGTAACATGGATAATCCAAATGTTTATGGTAGATGGGCAACATTACGAAATGTCCTTCATATGGTATGCAATAGTATGAATATCAAGGAGAAGATGAAAGATGTAAAGTTCCATTCTTTGTTTGTGATTAAAAAGTAATATATTCTGTTCTTAAAGTGAACTTAAGACTTAATCATCCGTTATTTACACTTACATAATGAAATTTCACTGTTATCTTTAACTAAAAAGTAAATCGATCATCGCATTAAGTTTAACTTACCCAAGAGAATAAAGCTAAGATTGGAATCAATGAAGGAATTTTCTTCTTCCAGAGTTTCGTTTTAATACTATTAGAATGCAATCGTTACTATTTCCGTATACATATTACAGGATAACTTCTACATTTCAGTTGTTCAACAGGTATTTGGAGATTGCCCATTACGGTGCATTACGTTCAGCTATTTTGGAATATGGTGGAACAGAAATAGAACTTATCGCAGCTCAAATTACGATAAGCTTTATTCGCTATAGCGATATCATGCAAGCTGATAAAGTCTTTTACGAAGCTGGAATGGCATGTAGAGTTCGTATAACTTGTCTACTTCTAGTTCAAGTGAACGACAACATCTCTGTCTTTCAAAAATTGTTAGATATTAAGACAGGCTTACAATATTTTTCACTATACCTTTTTTCATCCCTTTTGGAAAAAGCATTAGGCAATCGGCCCAATAAAACTTGTCATTCCTTCGAAAAATCAATGAAGGAATATCCTTAGTTTTATGCCATTGTCAATGATACATTTTCTCTGCTATCAGCTCAAAACACGGGTTCATAATGATCACACAGATATGCCTCGTTGATTTACCACATTTGAAACAGATACCTTAATAGAATTGAATGCTTAAAAGCTTAATTCTTGTTTAATAGGAAATGTTAATTTTATGTTAATCACAGAAGTTGGGTAGCAAGAAAGAGCGATTGGCATTTATACTTTTGAACCATTATCTCGATTTATGTGAAGCAATTGAGGATCAAGATCCATCGATTGTTGATGGTTCAATTTTCGACGGAACTGATATACCGCAAGAAGTATTGCTACCAGCAACAAAATACACATCTGTAAGTCTGAAGTTCTACCATTTTTTCCTCATTGGAAATGTACAAGAATATTAGATTTTGAGCTTTCTTATAGGGCTTATTTCCTAAGCACTACATATGTTTGAGGAATTCAGGATGATGAACATGAGGAAGTAAAAGAATGGGTGTTGGCTATATCAATCCAACAAAGTATAGAACGAAGTTTACCCTATGATAATGATGGTAACTTCGAAGTGAGCCTCATTGATGCGAACGGTACATCTCACTCAGCATGTCTCATTTCAGGTCTCTTCATTTATTTTGCATCAAGATCTTATTTTTAGCAAAATGTTGCACACCTTTGTACATCCATCTGGTGTCCCTATTGAGAGAACTGCTTCTGCGTAAAATAAGCTTATTTTTTAAATGATAATATGATAGTCTTATTGAAGGTTATCCGATACGTGGAAACATTAAAGAATTTGGATCTTCTAGCAGAGCAGCCGATCGTGATATGTGGAGCCGTTTCATCATGGCACAGAAGACGAAATCAACTGAAAATATAGGTGACGTGTTACAATTTATAGCAAAATGGACACATACAACAGCATCTCTATCTTTGTAACCCTTCATTCCTTAATTGTACTTATACAAAATTTATAATCCCTGAAAAAAATGCTGTTTCAAGTCCTATAATCAGTACACCGAATTTCAAGCCAAATTTTATTCTTCACTGTGGATCATCTTTCCATATAATATCACTCCACTATTCCTCAAAACTTCGCTAGCTGAACTAACATCCATAAATAAAAACATAAGCATTAGAGATTTTATCATTTATAAGTTAGATTACAAGAAGAATTTAACGCATACTACTTAATAGAAAAATGTACCTGTTGTAATGATTAGTTGTATAAGGACTAATCATTGATTATTATTGCTTGTAGTTGATAATCATATCTAACAAATTCTTAATTAACATACAAATTCCTATATATCGTAATCTCTATTTTATGACTTTCAATAACCGTTTTACAAAGATCACCTAGCAGCAATTCATTCTAAATCTGAGAGAAGGAGGAGTATATCGCCACAGGTATGAAGAACTTTTTATTTGTTAAAAAACAGTGCATTCAGTCTGAAAGAGAAAATAATGTTGTGGTTGATCAAAATGGTTAATCCCAAGCTAGCTTCATTTGGAGTAGGTTTCAGGTAGGCATTCAATCCATCATGGAAATCTTGCTGCATTTTGCCTTCTCCTTCTATCATTGTCTATCAAAACAACACATAACAAGTAATACTTAAGAAGAACTACTACATATCGTACATATAAATAATGAAATGCAAATGAATGAAACGTTATGAGGTAGTTAGATCAAAGCGATAACCGTACAATAAGGGCTTCACTGAGAAAGATGGCGAACAAGATACCTTACATTCTCATAGGTTACATATGTGACAATAACGTTCGGCAGCTGACGTAAGTTGCCCATAAACAAACCTTTATAAAAGCCACGCACACCTTCCATCCTATATGTTTTGCTTATCAAGTCGTAGATCCCAGTATATTTCGCATGATGGTCCTAGAAATATCAAGTATTTTTATGTCTATGAAAATTAGATGAAAGTAATAGAGATCGGATATAACGCATTGGACTTTCATCTACCTGTGATTAAAAATAAGTCATTATGAATATTCACCTGTAATCGAGTCCGCAACACTTGGTACGGAAATGTTATTGTTGTAGAAATTATCTTGGATACAGCTGAATAAACCAAGCAATCAACAGTACCCTGAAAACAAATAGGACTTTTTAATTCACCGTAGTAACTCTTAATTCTGAATATTCACTTCAAATGCGTCATGATTCCTTTGCAATAACTGCTGTTAGTGTAGATGAACAATTAAGATGATCTGAAGCTGGCACATCGCTGCTACAGGTCATCCAAAAAGCACTGAATAGTTCCAATATTTCAAATTCATCAAAAAGTGATTGGTAAGGTAATCAGAATTTTTTCACAGCAAAAAAGTATAAGGCAAACCAAAATATGATTAGCGGGAAGTCCTAAACGCTTCAATTGATCATCCTTGAAACGATTGTAAAGCATAAATTGAATTGCACCATGTATGGTTCCAATAACTCCTGGCGTAAAACCCTAGAAATATTTAAAAAATAAGGTCTTGGAAGGGTATAAAAGACGAAAAGAAATGTTCTATGAAACAGATATGTTCAGAAATTTTCTAGGTAGTAGGAGTTATCAGTAGCGACTATGCTATTAATTGCTTTCGTAACCAAAATTTACTTAATCTTCGATTCAACTTCATGCAATATTCATTCTTTCAATAAGTCAATAATGCTGCTGTTCAACAAGCCTCCCGTACCATACTTGTACACACTACTTTCCGGTGCCACCTTTTCAGTATGCCTTAAATAATTTTGGGTCAAAAATGCTCAATTGAAGTCATGAACCACAATCGAAACAATCTCCTAACTCATACCTCTGCCCATCCTCAAATTTCTTATAATTACTGCACTATATGAAATCCATAGCTTTTGTAGCGAAAGGAGGACAGAACAGACCCTGTACAATGCAGTAATCCCTTCGTTGCGAGCAACTGCAGAGAGACAGTTCAAGAGTCCGCGGTACCTGATTCTTTCATTTTCATACTGCAAGCACAATCGAGTTTTCGCCACCCAAATAGGATTAGTGAACATTAAAATACCAGCTCCAGTAATCATTCCCATCAGGATATTATCCACTGGTTCTGCTCCCGTTGAAATGGTTTCCTTATCACAGAAATTTTTGATAATGTGATAACTATAATAAAATGCTGGATTACGTTAGAGAAAAGAACGACTAACAAAACTTCACTTGAAATTTCATGGAAGTGGGGGCAGCATTTCGCATATTCCTAGAAGTTATTGCGGTTTCAAAAAATCGGCTTTGATATTTTTGATAACGTTTAACAAACAGAGATCTGCACGCTAACTTACCCAATTTACATTATCTACAACCTAATCGGGAAAGCTTACGGTCATGTCATTCCTTTCGTTGCAAGGTGTGAGGTTCTTGTAAGTATGGGCAGTTTCTTTTCTTTTTTTTTCAACGTTAATGAAAATTTTAATATACTTAAACTAATACAATACCATTCCTGGATTTAAAAGAGTTCTCTTAGCCAATGTCTGAGCATAGCAAGGAATAACTCTCTATTAGCTTAAAATGAGCACTTCAACGAGAAGGAGACTTACAATTGAAAATAAAGTCCCCATGATACAGCGGATCCAACTAGATTTGGCGAGAGTCCTTGATACAAACCTTTATATCCTTTGGACTGTACAATACTTCGTACAGCATGCCAATAATTGCGGTACTGCGGACGTTGACGGTTACCATCATTAGCTGCAATGGTTGAAGGTAATCAAAACAATGCATCTGATAAATGCAATAAATTATTATGAAGTGAAACTTGAAGTAAAAAATCTAGAACTTTCAAACATATACTTCAAGCAGTTTGAGCAAAAGTGTTTCACTCATACATTTTTCGGATTGTGAAATCCGAAATTACATATCGAAGATACCTCACAAGGAAAAGATTTATGACACGGCGCATGAAGTTTCAGCATAACCTCAAGATATGACAGTTACACTTCCTGAACTAATCAGATAATGCACACATATTAGGCTTACGCATAGTGAAACATAATAACATAGGGAAAAATTGAACAATATTACAAAACAGACTAAAATGATAAAATAAGAAATGAAATAAACAAACAAAATAGAATGAAGGGAATGTAAATTTATACAATGTGGTTTATGTATATATCAACCGACCGGAATATCGTATCCTGAGGAGATCCAATGGATGGCATGCAATGGTACTTATTATACCACCGGTGAACCCACCAATCAAATGTTCGTATTTTTCCATTCGACTGCATCAATGTCCTAATTGCTGCAAAAAATAAACCCTTTTTATCATTTATTCGTTAACTAACATGCCCTTGAATGCTCCGTCCAATTTCAGCATATGACAATATAATAATAAAAAGAAAAAGAAGAATTTCCACAAACACACAAAGCACAAACTGCAAGCGTTCAGAATTTACTAAACTGTTTCTACTATGCTACTGTAAGTATATCTGGTCGCTACTGTAAGTACATTTGATCTGCATTGTACTGCTATCATAGGTATATTTGATTTGTATTGTAGTGCCATCGTATTTTATAAGCATAAAGATTCACAGTTTTTACTCAGAATTTGCTAGACTGTTGTTAAATTATCCCGGTGGATTAAGAATTTACTACGCTGTTATTGAATTATTCAGATGGATTGGAACCATAGATCAGTCATCCGATGATGTACGAACGATGAGAATGAAAGAATAACTAAGAAATCATGCCAATAATTAAAGATCTACTTATTACAACTTAGCCCGCAATCCTTACTATTTTATCCTTTCCTCATTGACATTTCAATTAATTAAATCACATGAAAACACTTACTAAACGTAATGATTGGCATTATCACCATCCATCCTCCATATCCGGAATACCGGAAAACAAACCAGATAACCCAGTTAGAGCAAGTAATGAACCAATACCAATTCAAATAATACGTAATATCACTGCATAGTGATCCAGCGAAACCGGTTTCTACAAAATATTACCGAACCGTGTGATGCATTATCCAGCAAATTCTGATGATCTCGCTTTTCAGAGGTAGGGGGAAGAGGAGGGAGAGAGAGGGAGAATGGTAGGAGCTAGTGGTATAGAATGAAACTATGATTAGATAAAATTCTTCTCGATAAGTATTAAAGATTGCTAGAATTTAAAAGATAGTGAAAAAATAAGAGAGAATTGAATTTTGTCTAAGAAGTAAGAATGAACAAAAAAATATCATGATAGGCGCAGGAGACTGCAAGGAACAATAAGATTAATCAAATATTATGCGTCATAAGATGAGGTAAATGTTTGAAAGAGTATGATTAACTATTGTAGCAGGATGTGAAAGAAATTATAATTAGAGTGAAAAATACTTGTTGATTATAACAAATTCCTTCGATGACTCATCAATGAAGGGTGCATTTATACTGCTTATTTGGTTGTTGTGGTAAAATGGGCGCAAAATGGAGAAGCGGGAAGTGTTTAGCCATGGATGGAGTTTATCTTATCATCATTAAGCTATAATTATTATTGGGTTAAGTTTTGGCCAATATCTTAGTTATAATGGCATATTTTCTAATAGCATCAAATCGATTTATAACAGTTATATTGGCAAATTGTATAGCTATAGTAGTAAGTTGACTTACCTGAATTGTTGATAATTTTTACATTTACGATATCAGGTTAATTCATGATTACTGTATTCATTGCATAATTAAATCGATATTCCATTTGAAAAATTACAGGAAATTTTAACTTTTCAAGTGAAAAGTGCGAAAAATTGATATTTTCCGGACGGTTTATTTATTAAGTGATCACAATGACAAGTACATCTGTGAAACATCGCGAATTCGTTTCGGAACCAATGGGAGAGAAAGAAGTAACCGCTGTTGCTGGTATTGGACCAACATATGGTGAAAAATTGAGTAAGGCTGGCTTTGATAAGGTAATTCGTTCATTTAATTATATATATATATATAATTGTTATGTGATAATTAATTCTTGTATATATTATTTATTTAACAATTACATTATTTGTCATTATATTAGCATCATTAATTCTTATCTTTTCATTATTTAATCTAACCTTATCTTTTTGTTTATTGCAAATATTACCGCATCACACAAAGGTTGTAAATTATTGTTCAGTAATTTTCTGAATCATTCGGTAACGGTTTAATCATGCAAAAGTCCCATATCTTTTAAAATTGAAATATGAAAAAGTGTATTGTAACCAGATGGTAATAAATTCTAAACTTGTAGTTCTGTGTGAAAGTGAATCTGTTAATCATTGCATTATAAATCCTGCCTTTGAATCGTTTAATGATGTATTCATGCAGTATATTTCATTCATTCTTATTTATGGTAATTTGATTGAATGCTTATCTTCTCTTTATTTTGCAGGCTTATGTGCTATTTGGACAATTTCTCCTTTTGAAGAAAGAGAAGGAACTTTTCATTGATTGGTTAAAGGTAAGTATGTTAACCTTTTCTATGATGCATTCGAATGAGCTGAATTTGTATAGATATTTAATGACAGTGTTTATTGTATTTTTTTCGTTGCAGGAAGTAGCTGGAGTAAGCAGCAACCATGCCTTATCAGCTTATAATTGTTTAAATGAATGGAGTGAGCAGTACATTTAAATTGTTACCATCAGTGGCGTACGATTGACTGCCTCACAAATACTGTATTGTTTATTCGCTATTCATTTGAAATATTTTCGACAATATGCATTCATCAAAGCAGATATGGGAATATCAGCAGCATACCCTCAATGATTTTTCGGTTAGCTTACGGAAGAAACAATACGATATAGTTTTTGTTGTTATTCAGGGATAAATGGATGAATTGTTAGAGTTTACTGAAAAAATGAAATGCTTATTTGGTTGAGGGTATTAATCAGTTTCTGTAATTGCAAGAGGAATATTTTACTGAATGTGAAATGTAAAAGAGTAGTTTAAACGGTGAAGGGAAGCTGTGGGAGAGAAGGATTAGGAAGGGGATTTTGGTTCACAGTAATATTTGTCCAAAACATTTGCTTGCATTGGATTATTTTATTATAGTTTGTGATGTTGGTCATAAAATGATGTTTAAGAAATGATGCACTGACAGTATTATACATAAATTTGATTGGTAATTGATGGATAATTCAAACTTGAGTGTTCCGCAGATGGTGATAATTATGAGTTTGGGCAGTACACAATTTCGAAATAAAGTAAACAAGGAAGGGTATTCTATAAAGAAAAAAAAATCTATATATCTTTAAGTAAAGAAAACTCGATCAATTGTATATTTCTGATATAAAGATAACCAATATCAGTTAACATGTGAATTTTTCTTTTTTTCTTTGCCAACATGTGAATTTTTTCAGTCTAGCTTGTGAATTGTTTTCAGATCTCTGCATTTTATTCTGAATAAAATAAAATCAAATAAACCAGTGGTAATATACAAGCTAAACGATAGTAATGTAAAATATTTAATAGGTGTTTTGGAAAATAGCTCACCTAATTGATACTTCGCTTAGTACTTATCAATTCCTTTTCTTTTTCCTTCCAAAAAAGAAGTGTAATACATATTCATACATATCATGTAGTTCCTGTGATGTATTCCTTATCCCATTTTTACACCAGGATCAATCTAATCTCTATCATGTAAAAGTGGAAAACAATTTTCACTTATTTAGGTGCTCAGTTAAGATCGGGTCAACAAAATAATCACTGAGATGAAATAATGTCAAACTATTAGGAAGTTGATGATGTTAAATTTGATGTCAAAATATTAGAAGGAAATGAATTTAACTTACGAAAAAAAATTAGCATTACCTTTAAAAAAAAAAATTAGCGTTACCTTTTAAAATTTGCATTAAAAAGAATTAGCATATCTATCGATAACTTTTTTTTTTTCAGTCGTAACAAAGAGTTGAGATTACAATAATTAGCTCTTTTGTTAACTCATATAGAATGAAATTTTTTGTTTAAGCACATAAACATGTATAATTTTAGCTTACATTTTACATTATACAATATATTCACACATATAATATAGTATACTCAATGGTATTAAATTTATAAGAAAAAAAAAATTACTAATTCAATGCTTCTCTTTGCAATTTCAGCAACAATAGCATTAAAGAATTAATGAATTAAAAAGTGATTAGATGAAACGTATAGATCATCGAGAAGACGTTGTAAATAATCGAATAAATATTGAAATAAATAAACAAATAGTTTTATTTATTTTATTTAAATAAATAAAATTTAGACAAGGTAAGAAGTTTTAGAAATTTTTTTTTTTTGTCTGAACAAAGAAAGGAAAAAAGAGAGAGATTACAGTACTTTTTCAATTTAGTACTTTTAGATCTTCTCCTGATGATAACATTTCCTTAGGAACAAAATAAATATTATTTTTTTATCTTGCAAACTGCAAGCATGCATACATAAATATGATTTCTTCTCTTTTTTTTTATCTTGCAAACTGCAAGCATGCCATGCATGAATGAGTGGATGAATGCATGCATGAATCGAGATAATTCACTGAAGGATTTGATAGATGAGGAATGAAGTAATTATTTATGATGAAGACATTCAAAGAAAAAAAAAAATTTACTTTGCCAAATAAACAATTAACACAGATATCACATAGCGGATGATAAGCTAATAGAGAATGAACAGGTGGGATAATAAAATTGTCATATTGAGTTAGGTCATCGGGAGAACGAAGATGCAAGATGTTAGTTAAATTGGCGGGAGGGGAAAGATTCAGCGGATGATGATTAAATTAGGATGATTGATAAATGTGATAAGTTTTAATTTCTTACAGGAAAAATTTACAAAATACGTTTGGTCATATATGGAATCAGGAAAGAATGACGATGAACAAATTACGATAGATTCGGTGAAGAAACTGATCGCGGCACGAGATGAAATCGATCAACGAATCGCTAAAGAAGAAGAAGTTCTTAAAATGGTAAACTTTTTATTTTACTATTCCCAGTTACATTAAAGCAATGTTTAGTACAATAAAAATATTAAGGATAAATGACCATATTATCAGATTAGTTAATCTATCTTCTCTTAGGTTAATTCTCTTTATTAAAAATTAATCATTTTTTCCTTTTTTTTTTTCGAATCGTTATGAATTGATGAATTGTAATTTTTAATCTTCATGATGAGTGAAATTTAAAAAAAATATAAATATATTTCTTTTGATAATGGCGAAAGAATTTGTAAAGTTTTCAAAATTTATTAATTAATTTTGCAGAATAATATCGATATGGAACAAAGTTTAGTGGATGCAGAAGGTTTTCCCATCACATCTGTTGATGTATACTCAGTGAGGCGAGCACGATGTGCGATTATATGCGCACAAAATGATCGCCAAAAATTAACTTCACAAATTGAGAAAGCTATGCTTGTATTACATCAACAAAAACGCGATTGCACGGCAACATGCAGGTAATATTATATTGAATACTAATCTGCTGGTGGCATTATTTTACAACTAAGCAGAATTTGTGAATTATTCTATCTGTTTTTGAATTGGCTCATTTCATACAATTTTTCAGCGAACATGCAGCAGCAGCAAAAGCAGATGACATTCCAGCGGTGCATCGTACTAGTAATGCTCCGTTTGCAAAGATAGCCAAAGTAATGGATGGCTCGCCGGCCTTTTTAGCGGTAAGTACGTTATCTGTTCATACACAGTGATATTAATATTAAGAAACTGACCTTTCTCATCTGTATAGTTTTTTTTTCTTAGCAATTCTTATACATAGATCCATTAGTGTGGTACACCGGAAGCCACAAAGAGTTATTTTTCAGCAGTAACACGTGTAACCTTATTGTTAGGGTTCTGTTCCCATGCTTTTTTATATTGGAAAATTTTTATTCTGGTTTCGATGCATATTCTGAAAGTTTTCTCTTTCAAAGTTCCATTTGTTGGCTCCGCTTTATTTAAATGAAGAGAAAAATAATGATACTAATTCTTTAATCAATTGCAGATTTATATCTTTTAGGGTTTAAAGGATGGCGATCAGTTAATACAGTTTGGCTCATTACATGCTGGCAATTTTACCGATATAATAGAACTTCTCGTTGTTGTACAAAACTCCATGAATGTAAGTGTTCCATTTCCAAGTATCTTAGTGATTTGATATGTTTCACTTGCAAAGAAATCGAGAAACAAGAATTTAGGCGTCTTCCCAATTCATGTAACATTGTTTTTCAATTAGTTCATCATGTATATTGTTGTTAGAATCGTTTCGAATACCTTTAATTCATCCCTTTAACCGAATTAATTACTCTTTTGCGAGTAAATGCTGAAGCTACCGAAAATCCCTGTAAGTGCTAATCCCCATATGGATGACTCAACAATTAAACAATGACTAAACAAATGATTAAACAGTGATCAAACAGTTCCATGTTCGGATGATAACGATGAGGAAAAGTTGGATGTCATTCCCTTTTCTAAAACTTTTGTTCGCTAGATCACTTGTGTATTTAAAACTGAATCGTTTAAAATATCAAACTGAACAAGCGGCTGAGCTAGGTTAGGGGAAATGTGCCTTAGATTAATATAACAACCATGAAATTGTGTCCAACACGTGATCATTGAGGTGGTCGTTAGTGTGAACAACCACTCATTGCAACTTGTTGGGTGTAGGTGCAGTAGCTGGATAAATAACTCCGCTTACTAAGCAGAACTAAGGGGAATCTAATCACGGACAGGATTATATTTTCTATATTATTGCAGAAGCCAGTACGAGTAACGGTTTTAAGGAATGACAGGCCGGTACGCTTGGAACTTGTACCGCGAACGTGGTCTGGTAAAGGCACTCTCGGATGTTCCGTACTTCCAGTCACCCCTGCTCATATATGAATCCCTTCATCGCATTATGCACTAATGTACATTATTAATCGCCATATGAGGAGATACAGTAGTATATTGTTATTTGCTGATGTATTTCCTTTTTTCAGTAAGTTTCAATTTCTGACATTTGAGATCCAAATCACTTATTACTATTGATACTACTTATCCAAATCATTTATTACTGACACTACTTATAACATAACAAAATAGCATACTAAAAACGAGGAATTTTCAAGAGAAAACCAGAAAAGAGAAAAATTAGAAAACTGCTCTTGTAATTGGGTTGCATGAGAAATAAAAATTGCTGAAATCTATTTTTAATCGATTGTTTTCGACATGGAGTTCATCATTCTCTTGGATGATGGCACTAGCCTATGTATTAGTGTTTAATAACAGATGTATTTTCTATAAATTCTATCTGAAATGAAAAATGTTTGTTAAGAAATACAAATACATGTAAAAATGCTAATATTCCTTGGTACAATGAAACTGAAAAGCCAAAAGGGCATGAGACCACAATGTATGTCGCAAAAATTACAAGGAAAAAAGAAAACCCTCATATTACATGAACACAACAACAGTGGTTTTCTCTTTGTGTAAGAAAGGAAAACGAGTTTATGGCCTGGAAATGCGAAGGCTTCAAGGCATGAAAGCCTATTATCACATTCGGAAATCTTTCCCATCACGGCCGCCAGCAAATGCCAACTTCACAATATATGGTGCTTTGCCAACTGCAATATTTTCCATAACTCATTAAAGTTGTGGGAGGTATCTTAAGATAAACGGTTCAGTACGTTGATGTGTCATCTATCATTTGACGGATAATACGATACAGTTTTTCATATCCAGTGAAATGTGGAACTTTTTTCATGTTTCCACAGTAACGACAATAGAGGTCACAGTAGAATTGGGACCTGTGCCAATAAATTCTATGAGAAGATACTTAAAAAGAAAAAATTGCAAAAGTTGTGAGATCAAAAAAAAGAAACCAGGGCTTTCAACTGGCGTATGGTTGGCTAACATGAGCGCTTCCGTTGCACGTTCCGTGTTAGGAAACTCACAGATCCCAGCTGAACTGCGTTCTGAACGCTGTGGAAAGATGACCACTTTGTCTGGTGTTATAGCTCCCTTGTCGACAAATAACTGAAATACCTTAATTTTGGAGTAGTTCGCTGGAATGTGCTATACGTGACTCCTGGAATACTACGTGTATAACGGCTATTCTTTAAAAAAAACGACACTAATCAGGAGTTCTTCGTTATGAACTGGAATCGTTATGCACCTACTAACGATTAAATTGCCCATGATATAAAGTTTGTCTGTAGTTCGTCTGCATTTATGCCATAATTACCGCGTTTGATATGTTGACTTCTTTTCCTTTAATATACTTAGAAAACGAGAAGCAAGTGTTTGATTTTTTTACACACAAAAATTTACATCTTTGAGTTTTTCCTCTGTCATTGTCACGGGAGCATTGTACCAGTGCAACACATGCGTTGGTTTCACAATTCGATTTCGTGCCGCCAATTCGGGCGTCGTATAACGCTGATTGCGGCTATTGGTATAATCTCTGTAAGTTGCTAATATCAATTTTTGACCATAAAGAAAGCTAACTTTGATAACTTTCAGTCTTATTCATTATGTTAGTTTTGCCGCATCTATATATCAGAAGATTTTTTGCACCGCTGCTTAGTTCATTTTACCCCAAAAAATTGATTTAAAAATTTCTTCATTTTCTACACAAAAATGTGAAGATGATCATCCTGCGCTTTACCTGTATGAAGGTGTTCCATCCGGTAATATGAATGGATCACGTATTTCGTGCAAAATTTGTTGTTTTGATGGTCTAAGAGCAAGTTTGTTGCCGAAAATTATGGTACCATGCAAGTTATCGATTGTTGTGTAGACTTGGCGTACACTACCCATCTGGGCCATTGCCGTATCTGTCTTCGATTTCATAAATTTGATCTAAAACAATTGTGATCAAAAAGAAATTAGAAGTCTCCTATGTAGGACTTGATATAGATCATTCCTCACCGTTCTACTGGATTGAAAAAAAAAAATTGAAAAACCGAAAAATGAAGAAGAGATACAAAAACAATCTTCCGCTCTTTTCCAGAGATAACAAAATCATATAACACCACGAATTACCTTATTACAGTTACCATAGAGACACAAGAGATTAAATAATTTGTCGCAGTTAAAATTATCCTGATCAATGCCATAAATCATCATTACGGGACCATCACCATTGTAATAATCACGTTCATCTTCGTAGAGACCAGCATTGTTTCCTGCAATATAAGTCCTCATAACACAACGAATCCTTCAAATTCACCGATCAAAGATTCGAAAACTTGAAAATTTGGATCGAAAAACATATAAGTTGAACCAGAATTTAATGATGATAGCATCATTAGACTTTTCAGGAATGTGGGAAACTTACTGGTACGGAAATAGCCAGTAGGTTAATGATGAATTAATGATCATGAATATAAAGCATCACCAACACAATCACTCCCATTATCACCATTATTACAGCTGCTGCGACAAGTACTAGCAGTATTAACAATATTTATGATCATACAGAAGTAGCTACTGATACAGAAGTAGCTACTGAATCTTCAACAATTTGTAGAGATAGTTGTGATTTTCATAGTTCTGCGAACTATTTGGAATAAGATCATTCCAATTTTAGGCTACTTCCGAATTTCGAACTTCAAAATTCGACTGGCTCTCGTAACTGTTTTCCAAGATCCTTACAATGTACATCACTAAGGATAAAGTGAAATATAACCTCTTCCACGTGCATATCCACCTCGAGTATAACCAGCATCACCACGACCAAATCCACCTCGTCCACCTCCTCTGCTGTAATACCCATCAGCACGAGAGTAACCATCTCCTCTTCCATATCCTTCAGCTCTTCCGTATCCTCCATCATATTCATCATAGTTGCCACGACCTCTACCGTAGCCGCCACTATAACGGTCATCATGGTAGCCATAGTCAGCAGGTGGACCACCACGACCTCGTCCACCGTATCCTCCTATAAATAAGCATTTTAAAAGCGTTTAAATAAAAAATTAATGACTGAGTAATTCTACCGTACAACTTAATCACGCAAATCTCCATCTTCAATACTTGAACCGTTCGTCATGCCACAAAGTACTATAACATACCGTAACTTGGAGGTCCACGTGGTCCAGGTGCTGAAAAAAATGAAAAAGAAACATTGCAGTATCAAGCAAACCATTAAAACTACATTAAACAGCAGTATTTTGGATAGAATGTAAAAACTGTAATAAATGATAAAAAAAATTACGTCCTCCACGTGGTCCCGCATCATTTAGCAATGTCTTTCGAGGTTCCTCCGTATATTCTGAAACAGTATCCCGAAATAAGTTATAACACATAGAATATACCTTTTCATATCATGCGCAACCTGTAAATAAAACCGAAAAGAAACCATGCAGTAATACAATGCCGACCTTTGCAGCCTTGTATGAAATGTAAAGAAAGATGATGCACTTTTCACTTCAGTGACTCATCCATCAATCAGGACCCGAGTAACATTCGAACAACGCAACATAGTGGTATCAACGAACCTTATCCAGATAATACATAAACTTAAGCCTGTAGGCCAGCACCACTGGTACATGATTTCTTCCACACCGCAAGCTCTTTTGCGGTAGAAACCTGCAGAAAAGGGATGCGTTCACGTTTAAGGCCAATTATTAAGAAGCTCGATGATAAGCTCTC